GGCACATAACAACAACAACAACAACAACATGTATATAAAGGACCAGGCTTACTGATCACCTAGAGACTGATGAAACCCCCAAGACTATGGCCCCCAGTGACCCCTTGTGCCTAGATTTGAACTCAGTCCCATGGCTTCCATGCAAACAATAGACAGGCATATAAGGTGGACATTTACACCAGGTACATACACTCCTTAAAACCATCAACCATGGGAGATCAGAGGGGCATTATTTGCACAGGGTGATAGCTCGGGGGTCAGGAATGCATAGGAAAGAAGGACACAGGGAAGAGGTAACTACAAGGAGGAAGTGGGAAGAGTGCTGTTCCATTGTGGGGAATTGCAGTCAACGTCATGCCACGAAATGTGTATGAACTGCTCTATGGAAATGAATTTGCTCTGTAAACTTTCACCCAAATCACAATTAAAAGGGAAAGAAAAATATGCTACTTAAATAATTCTCAACTCAACTTGAAAATGAGGAAACATTGTGAACTGAATAGTCATGGAAACATGACATAACAAACTCAAGGGCTGCAGAGAAAGAAGTCCTCAGAAAGCAATTATGGCCTTAAGTGCATGCATTAGAAAGAAGAGAAGTTAAAAATCAATGATCTAAAAATAACTGGCGACCTGAGCACTCCCTTCACAAAGCTAGAAAAAGAACAGCAGATTAAATGCAAACAAAGCAGAAGGAAATAAATAATAAACATAAGAGCAGTAACTGATGACATGTTGCTGTTGTTGTTGTTGGTAGGTGCCGTCAAGCAGGCTCCGACTCCTATTGACCCGATACACAACAAAATGAAATGCTGTCTGATCCTGCGCCAGCCTCACAGTCCCTGCTATACCTGAGCCCGTTGTTGCAGCCACTGTGTCAATCCATCTCATTGAGGGTCTTTCCCTCTTTCATTGACCCTCCACTTTACCAAGCATGACATCCTTCTCCAGGGAACGGTCCCTTCTGACAACAAGACCAAAGTAGGCGAGACAAAGTCTGGCCATTCCCACTTCCAAGGAGCATCCTGGCTGCACTTCTTCCAGGACAGATTTGTTAGTTCTTCTGGCAGTCGATGGTGGTTTCAGCATCCTTCCCCAACACCACAACTCAAAAGCATCAACTCTTCAGTGTTCCTTATTCAATGCCCAGCTCTCATATGCA